CACACACACACACACAAACACACAAGGACAGTGGGTGGGGGCTATCGACGCGAAGCGCCCGTGCGTGGACGCCGCGACGGCAACGACGGCGATGACGAAATGCCCCAGCCGCAGGCGCGGTACAGGCCGAAGAACTTCATCGGATTTTTCTGGTTGTGACGGTCAAACCACCGTACATGGTTCCACACAACTTGAGAATCAAAGATCGGAGCGAACGGCATAGCTCAGTTGGTGAGGCACGCAAACGCCACTCAGGAGGTCGTGGGCTCAATCCCTTGGTGCCAACCAGCTCAGACGGTCGGCTTGCTCCGACGCTTGCTCAGTATTAGGGCATACTCGCACCGCGAACCCAAATCCGCAAAATATGTGGATTGGGGAAGAGCCCATTTGAGGCTTCGGGGGGATAATTCGCAGCCCTAAGGCTGAGGCATAGTGGTGTTCGGCGTCTGTGTCATGGTGTTGCATTTTTGGCAGCGGGCGACCAGGACTCAAAGTGGGTTCTTAAGGGGCAAAAAAAAGTGGGTTCTTAAGGGGCAAAAAAAAGTGGGGAACCGGTCCTTGCCAAAATTGCGGACTACCTACAGCTAGCTCTGGTAGAACCGGGACTTTTGGAAAAAGGAAGGACCGGTCCCCAAGTGGAAGAGGACCCCAAAAAGAAGTGGGGGTGGGGTAAGGGCCCTCAGGCCCAGGCGTTGAGGCCCGTCTTCTCAAAGTTGTCTACCGCGTGGGCGCGGGGAACGCAGCCCTAAGGTAGCCAAACCAATGAGACTAAGAGCTAACACAAAAGAGAGAGAGAGAGAGAGAGAGTTTTGTTCCATTTATTGTTATGAGTGTGAGAGAGAGAAAGAAATAGATAGAGAGGGAGGGGGGGCCTACCAGAGAGAGAGAGAGAGAGGGGGGGCGGGGACTACTCTAGAGAGAGAGAGAGAGAGAGAGAGAGAGACTGAATGGCAAAATTGAAATATGGGCCGCAGTTGGAATGATTTTTTAAATTTATTTAGCGTTTTTTTCTGGAAAGATCACAACAAAATCTACGAGTACTCCGATTTTCAAGTTTTTTCACGCATTTTTTAAGCGTGAAAGCTCACTGAATTTGGAGTACTTTTTTAGTTGGCCCAAGCATTGCTAAGTGGCAAAAATGAAAAATGTGTCGAATCGGCGCAGCGAGTATTTCACAATGTAAATGATTTTTTGTAAATGTTCTATTATTATTTATGGAAAGAACGCGACCTCATCTATGGATTCTCAAAATTTCAATTTTTTGTGCATGTTCCTCCGAGCACAAAAAATCATCAAAGTTGCCTCTTGCAAAACGCCTATTTCGTTGTGCCTGACCTCCCTGTTTTGAGAAGACGGGGCTCAATGCCTAGGCCTGAGGGCCCTTTTGCAGTTCACATGCCCCCACTTCTTTTTGGGGTCCGCTTCTACCCGGGGACCGGT